GCAGATGGATCGTATCAAATTAAAAAGCTTGTGCTGTGCAAAATAAACAACAGGGTGAAGAGACAATCTACAGAATGGGAAAAAAATTTTGCCAGCTGTTCCTCAAGAACTAACATCTAGAACAGTGATGGTGAGCCTTCTAAAGCTTTCAGTGAAATAAGCAACCAGCTGCAGTACACATTTCATACATTCACCACCACTGTTCTAGAATATATAAAGAACTAAAAAAACTAGACCCTTCCAAAGTAAAGACGCAATCAAAAAATTGACAGCTGAAATGAATAGACACTTCTCAGAAGTGATAGCACAAATAGACAGTAAATACATGAAAAAATGTACAACATTCCTGACCACTAGAGAAATGCAGATTAAAACACTGAGATTCCATCTTAATCCAGAAAGATTGGGTATCATCAGGATATCAAATAGTAGCAAATGCTGGCTTGGCTGCAGCGGGGCAGAAGGAACTCTCGTTTGTGGGAATGTAAACTAGTATAACCCAAATGGAAATCAGCACAGATAGTCCTCAAAAATAGAAATTCCATTTGACCCAGCTATCCCTGTTCTAGGTGTCGTCCTGAAAGAATTAAAGACATCATTATTTCAGTGATACATGCATACCTGTGTTTATAGCAGCACAACTCGTAAGAGCAAAAATCTGGAAGCAGTCCATATATCTGTCAGCAGATGCATGGGTAAAGGAAATGTATTTATAAACAATAGAGTACTACTCTGCCATGAGGAAAGATAAATTTCAGTCATTTGTAGGAAAATAGATGCCCCTTGAGGCCATAATATTAAGTGAAATAAATCAGACACACAAGCTTGGGTACTGTGTGATTTCTTTTATATGAGAAACCCAAAATATAAATAATTTTAAGTGTAAAATAAAAGGTAGATAATAGAAAACAGGGAGTTAGATGTTTTGCAAAGGGAAGGGGACCAAAAGATGGGGAGAGGGGGAAGAGGAGGAGGAGAAACGACATAGTAGCAACTCCTATAGGTAATGTAATTATGCGTTGGCAGAAATGTACTGAGAAAAATAATTTTTAAAATGCCTTGTAGCTGGGCATGGTGGCATCCACCTGTAATCCCAGCACTTGGGAGGCAGAAGCAGGAGGATCATTGCAAGTTTGAGACCAGCCTGAGCTACAAAGTGAGCTCAAGGCCAGCCTGAACTGCATAGCGAGACCCTGTCTCAAAAAGGAAAAACAAACAAACAAACAAATAAATAAATAAATAAAATGCCTTGCATAAATCGGGAAGAAAGTAGCCTCTCAATAAATTACATCAGCTGCTTGCTTATATTTTTAGAAGTCTGGGCTTTCTCTTAGTGATTTGTAAAAAGGGTCAGCAAACATCTTCTGTAAATGGGCCGAATAGTAAACATTTTAGGCTACTCAAGTGTACACCCCAAAAGCAGCCATACATAATACATAAATGAGTGAACTTGTCTATTCCAGTAAATTGACATTTATGGGCACTGAAAGTTCAAATATATAAATACAAATATATCTGTATCTTTTTGTTTGTATGTATGTTTTTTGCCCTTGAACCCACTGTGTAGCAAACGCTTGTTGGAAGCCCTCGGACTTCATGCTGGAGTTACAGGCATGTGCCACCACACTGGGCTTGATGTCATTTATATGTGTCCATAAATACTGTTTTTCTCTTGATTTGTTCCCCTCAGCAATTTAAAAATATACAAGTGTCCTAGGGTCAATACAGAAACAGGAATATAATCGCCATAGTTGTTGACTCCTTACCTTTACTTGTGTATTTTAATGTCCTGTTTGTATATATTAAGAACAAAAAAATAAATAAAAGAAAAAGGACGGTGAACCTTTTCTTGGCAGAAGCAGTGTGAGCTGTTACAAAAAGAAGAATTAATTTTACATTATGCAGAGAAATATTTAAGAACAGTCCTGATTTTGTTGCCTGTTTTACTTGATCAGTAAACATTCTTTTTTTTAAAAAAAAGGCATGAGCCAAGTGTGGTAGCACACACCTATAACCCCAGCACTCAGGAGGCTGAGGCAGGAGGATCACTGCAAGTTCGAGCCCAGCCTGAGCTACAAAGTGAGTTCAAGGCCAGCCTGAACTGCATAATGAACACCTGTCTCAAAAAGACAACAATAATAAAAAAGGCATAAGTTCCTCCAGTATTTGGGCCCACGCCTATCATTTTTCCTTGAGCCCACTACTTTAATATATATATCTTCATTAGATGTGACTGTCAAATAGAATTTATAAAAGGATTTTAGTTCTTGGATACTGTTGGGAATTATTATCTTTTCATGCTTTAAACTTCCTTATTACTTACTCTATTTGAAAAATGAAAAGCTGCTTTCCCCTGCTAATAAGATCTTTGGTTTCAAAATACTTTGGGAGTTAGAATTTAGTATTGACATAAATTATGAAGTATTGCAACAATATGGGAAAAATTGCTTATCAACCCTGACCTTTTAATTCTGACTTCCTTGGCATTTTTATTGAATTATTTTATATTTGATAATGATGGCTCTTTCAGAATGATTTTTGTATATTTTTGCTTCTGTCAATGTGACTGAAGTGCGGTGGTTTTGGAATTCTTTAGTATACTCTCAACAATGTAGCTTCACTTCTTTATAGAGATAAAAATGTGTACAACGTAGGATGTGATGTTTTGAGTCACAATATTTTGTATTACCTGGTGTTTATTACTGTTCTTTAAAGATTTTTTTGAGACAGGGTCTCACTGTGTAGTATAGGCTGGCCTTGAACTCCCTTATGTAGCCCAGACTGACCTCGAAGACAGGGCAGTCCTCCTGCCTCAGGCTCCCAAGTGTTGGGATTACAGGCGTGTTCCACCATGCCTGGTTAATTTTTATTACTTATTAATTGAAGTAGTTCATAATTATTTATGCTTTGGAAAAATAAGGAACTCCTTTGTAATGAACTGTTTATAATAACTTCATTAGAAGAGAATAGATAAGGTAAAAGGGTTAACCAAAATTTGAAATTATCCTAAATTAAAATTAATCCAGAACAAGATGGAAGTATTTAATTATGTGCTTATACTAAAGTATTTAATTATATGCTTATACTGTATGTCATCATTTTTGTCATACTCTCAGAGACCTTTAGAATGTTAAAATTGAAAGAGCTATAGGATTTAGTTTCATTTTATAGCTGATCAAAGTGAGTAGTACTGTATTTACAAGAATGGTGTGGATATATATCTTTGTACCATATATTTGGATATATTTGGATTTGAAGTTAATTATTTAATCAGTATGCCATTTCCTTGCTTTCTTATCAATACATAAGTTTTTAGGGCTTTGTTAATTTTAAAATGTATAGTGTTTAAAAAATCCTCAGATCTATACAAATTTATAGGTATTAGTAGCCTCTTATTGTCTTGAATGCTGAATGTTAAATATGGATGCCATTTTGTTGACCTGTATTTTGGTTATTTCCCAGACAATTGGAATACTTAATATGTTTTTTCTTTTCAGGTAAATGACACAGTATACAAATCTTTCTTAAATGGGAAATGTAGATACTGTTTAATAAATGCTGAGAATATAGTGTTTCTTTTTTTCCAGATCCTTTTTCAACCAGTAGAACTGAACAGTCTATATTTTCACCTTTAGTTATGAAACCATCCTAATTTTAAAATTTATAATTCTATAATTTTTCCCTACTGAGCATTCAGAGTAGAGTAATTATGGCAACCCTACTTATTTTTTCATGATTCAAAATAACAGTAATTCTCTTCATTTTTTGTATGTGGAAATGCAATCATAGTATTATTAAGATCTAATTGTGGTATATGAGCACTTTTCTTGGCCTAATAAACAGATGAAATGTTAGCATTTCCCCCTTCACTATCTTTATTCTATATAGTCCATATGTAGTCAAATAAGAATTTACATGTTGTACTTCCCTGAAAAGCATTGTTACTTAAATGATATCTATCATCATAAATGATAGTTCCATTTCATTTGTATTCCCTCTTTAAGAACTGAGACTATGGACTTGAAAATATTTTTTACTAACCTAAGTAACCCTATCCACCCTGAGTCACAGCTTAATCCGCCCAACCCCAAACAGTTTCACAGAGAACCCTGCTCTAATAACACTGGTACAATTCAGTGTAGTTTAGGCTACGAAAGAAAATATTGACATTAGATCTCCTAAGAGACACTGCTTCATTGTGTAGCTTTTTGTGTAACCCTCAAATCCAAAACAAATACCTGCCTGGAATGTGATGTAGAATGCGTGTTCTTGTCCTTTCCCATGTAAAATGTTCCCTCTAAGTTGCACAATGGCTGCAGTTTTGTCAACCTACTTGATTGGAATTTGATGAGTATTTTTCACTCAATACAATGGCCAAGTGAAGATGAGTTTCTTCTGTTCCGAGAAGCCAGATACTTCATTGGGATTTATGATTTTGATTTCTTGACAAAGAACCTAAAGACATTTTAAGGTGACAGTTCTGTATGATCACAATAAGGACATTTAACAGAACCACAACCCTTCCATGTTGTTTTGTTGAATCAGTAACTTTTAAAAATCCTTCCTATCTTGCTTGTTCTACTTTTGGCAGATGAACTCCTTTGCTTGGTAGTTTGGATATGAAGTTGACCAAACCTGTTTGGTCTTTGGGAAAATGTTAAATTCTCTCTTAGCTGTGATATTTATTGTTAGGTTGAAAAGTCAGCTTGTCCTTAGAAGGAACACTGGAGAATGAAGTGTACTAATTGTGCTGTCTTCTTCTGTGGTTAATAGTAATCATCTTTTTTCCTTCCCTTTTTTTGCTGCCTCTTTCCTCCTTTTCCCTGTTTGCTCATGTACTGTTTGAATTTATTAAATTGGCCTATATATTTTTTCCTTGCTTTCCTTTTAATTTTGTGACCTTCTGGCCTTCTCTGTCTTACCTCCTTGCTTGGGTTCCATGTTGCTAGTTTTTATGTTCGCACGCTCATTATCACCCTTTTTTGTACTTCAAATCCCAGCAGCTGCCCAGCCAGGTCCCTGAGCACAGCCCTGTGGTTTATGGGACTGTGGAGAGCGCTCATCTTGCTGCCAGCACCCCTGTCACTGCAGCTAGCGACCAGAAGCAAGGTTTGTGTATGACTGTTTTCCTCCCTATCTTTAGTCTCTTTTTATTAATTACATTGCCCTTCAGCATCTAAGAACAAGAGTAAAACATCTGACCGTTATTTAGATACCTACTTTTAAACAAAGTTTTGAGGCCAAAAAATTCTGCTTCTGTGAAACTAAATTAGGAATGATTAATTAAAATTTTCCTACATTTTGTTAATAGCTTCCTATCAATATGTATATATAGATAAAACCCTAGCTGCCTTAAATTAAAAAAAAAAAAAAGTAAGGGAGGAAATGAAAGCATATATTGTTTTACAGGAACAACGTAATTAATTTACAGATTCAATATGTCCTTGTGTATCTTGGTATTTTTATAAAAGATAAAATGTTTCTTCTTAAAAGATTGGCTTCTGTAGCCTCAGAGAAAGCATTGAGTTCAGATTATGTTTCCAACATGTAGTAGGTGTTTTGTATTGAGTGAGGATAATTTATGTATCCTAATTTCTTCACTCATGAAGTTGAGTGAAGGCCTATTTTATAGTATTGTTTTGAAGACATGTAGCACATGAATAATTATAATCATCATTCTTTGATACAGGAATAGTTTTAAGGCCTTCTCTTTTTGACCTTGAACATAAAGTGTCCAGTGTTTATTGAAATAAAGATAATGTCTTTTGGACTATAAATAGAAAAACTTTTAAGGCACATGTCATGCTAGAAAATGGCTTATCATATATAGTCTTCCTTTCCTACCTCGTTGGATTTTAGCTGGACCTAACTAGGCACTGACAAAACAAGTAACTTCGAGCATGCTTTCTAATGTCCCTGGCTGTGTTCTAGGAATAAATACAAATCGTGTACATACGGAGTCAGCAAGAAAAAAATGTATATGCACGTCAAGAAAAAAACTTGTCTGAATATTTTAATACTAAATTTATTGAAACATCGAGATTAATACAAGTTACTGTTGGCCTATACAATTACAAGAGGTGCTCAAAGTGGTGGTTATTAGCTTCCAAGCATTTATTAGTACAGCAAACTGCTGCTGGGTAACCTTGGCTGTTGAGAATGCTGAACATGCATTTTTCAATTTCTTCTCTAAGGGCCGGCACTGTACTGGGTCTTTTGCAATATACCACATTCTCTATGGTGCTTCTCATGAGGGTAACACCATCTATTTTAAAAACATCATACTATTCATTTATTTCTTGAAATGTGTATACATTTTTTGGTGGACTCTGTGTGTTACCTGCTTTCTTGAATTATACGGTCCTACAAACTTCTTACTATTTTATAGCTGGCTGTTACTAAATATGCTTTCTCACAATTTTCAAAAAAGTATGCTGGGCATGGTGGTTTATCCCTGTAATCCCAGCTCTGTGAAGGATCATAAATTCTGTGTCAACCTGGACAGTGTACCAATTTAGCGAGACCCTGTCTGAAAAATAAGAAATAATTTAAAAAGGGCTGTGGATATATTTCAGTGTGAAGGCCCTGGGTTCAATCCCAATTACTGGGGACAATTAGAAATGTCACATAAAAATAAAGTATTCAATATTAAAGGCCTTGAGCTAGACTGCATATTAATCACACTTACAATCCTTCTGAATGGTGAATATATGATTTCAGTGTTTTTACATCATACAAAGATGACATGAGGAGGCGGGAGGATTGTTGTGAGTTTGAGTCCAGCCTGGCTACAAAATGAGCTCAAGGCCACCCTGAACTGCATAGCAAGACCCTGTCTCAAAAAAAAGAGAGAGAGATGAGCCAGGTGTGGTGGCACAAGCCTCTAATCCCAGCCCTCGGGAGGCTGAGGCAGGAGGATTACCATGATTTCGAGGCCAGCCTGGGCTCTTTAGTGAGTTCAAGGCCATTTGAACTACATAGTGAGACTGTCTCAAACAAACAAATAAAACAAACATGACATGATATTTTTAAAATAGAAAGTTAATTTTTTCCGGTGAGTATTACAATGCATAGTTGTTTTTAAAAAAAGTACTTGTGTGGTGGCAGGTGTGGTGGCAGAAGAATGTAATCTCAATACTTGGGAAAATGAGGCAAGAGGATCTAGGTGAGTTCAAAGCAAGCCTGTGCTATGTAGTGAGTTCAGGGTCAACTTGAAATACATAGTGAGAGGCTGGGGATTTAGCTCAGCAGCACAGTGCCTGCCTGGCAAGTGCAGGGTCATGAGTTTGATTCTCGGTACCAGAAAAAAAAAAAAAAAAAAAAAAAAAGAACTACTTAGTGAGACCCTCTGTCAAAAAAGAAAATACAAAACACAGCAAACAAATCTGGAACAGGAGGAAGTTCTATACTGTATTTGTTATATAAGATAGTTTTAAACTAAAAGATAGGCAATGAACCATAACCTGGCATGCTTCTAAAAGTTGCACCGTTAAGTACTTCTTTCAGCTATGTTTGGAGTTAAAGGAGGACTCATGAAGCTTAAAACTATAATTTTTAAATTTTTTAAAGCCATTTACCTTGTGAGAAGTAGTTTTAGGTATTGGGAGGATTATTCTCTACCCCCAATATCATCTTTTCACATTTGCTTTATAACTGTGCTAAGACTTCTTTTAAAGTTCCTAATATACTCTGATGGTGATAGTTCTGATAGTATTATCTTTTGTAGCTATTTTATGAAAAACAACGCCATGATTTATAGTTGTAAGATCCTTACTGTGTTGTATTCAGGTCTAGATTACCAAAAGAGGAAATGGAAGAGTTTTAGATTCCCTCAGTACTTTTTTTCTTTTTGGTTAGTTGAAATTTGACAAAAATCAACATTTCAAACTAATACGTTGCTTAGATAAGGGCCAACAGGAAAATATTTTAGATCACCTGGAAGTGAAAATCTAGTTTTAAAGTACCGGTTTTAGAGCTTTATAGGTGGATAATTCTTTGGGACTACCCATCTTCCATGTAGTACCAACTATTCATCAGAAACTTAGTGTTTTATAATTCTGCTGGTAGCCTGCCAGCATGTAAAATAGTTTTCACAATAGTCCATCCATTCATCCAGAGCTGGGAATGGAATCCAAGGCCTCAAACATGCTAGGGAAGGATTATACCACTGAGCTGCACACTCCCAGTCCTCAGAGTAGTTTTTAAAGCCCAATTTTATGTAATTCAAGTGCTCATTATTGGGAAGTGCTCATTTTTACTTTTTTTAAAAATTTCTTTTAAAAATACTGTAAAATTGAAGAAGAATAGATGCATTCACTGCTTTCAATGATTTCTGTTAAAAAACAATGGTCTTTTGCATTCTGCAGTCAAATTTTTTCTTATTCAACAGAAATGTCATTACTGAAGATTCATAGTAGGCAACAGAATTTCATGGCCACTCCAAAATCTGCCAGCTGATTCACCCAAATACTTTTATTTTCATGGAAGAATGTGGGGTTCAGAATCAGTCTCAGTCTTGCACATTTGCTAGTTATGTGACCTTGGACCAGTGACTAATCTCTACAACCTTCAGTTTCCTAATCTGTAGAAAAAGAACATTACAGTTTTTGCCCCAGTGATGGTTGTGAGAATTAAAGAGAAAAATGTATGTAGATATTGAACCCAGTTCGTGGCACATAAGTGCTTTATAAATGTTAGTTGTCATTATTAATCTAGTTTCTCAGTTTTTGACATAAACAACTGGAATGGTTACAGGAAAACAAAGGTTCTAGATGATTACACATTTCCTATCTTTTAGTGTATGAAAATGAGGGAATATCTCATATTGGCTTGTAAACAAAACTTTTATGATTTAAAATCTTTGCTTCGTATTGATGGTGTATAGATACAGCTGAAATTGTTGCTATTTACTCAGTGAGAAAGTGCATTCAATTTTGTGTATTGAGGGTTTGGTGTGGATAACTCATATTAGCTAGTTAGTGAGGAGCTTAAAATCTTAGTACCTTTTGAAAGCACCTGGTTTTTAGTATTCAGTGAATAGAATTTTGTTGAACTGGGCTTTGTTTGCAGGTAGGATATTCTTTTTTAGGTGAGACGGTCCCTCAGATTCTAGGATGTTCAGCATTCCTGGTCTCTGGGCCTGGGTTAACTGATAGTAGCACCTTCTCAGTGGTTGTAAGATTTGTCATACCCAAAGGTGCTCACTTAAGCCATTGGTTTCACCACCATCTGAGAATAAGAGAGAGCAATTTTATCCTTTTTGTAAATATTGCACATTCATTATAGAAACTATGGGTAAGCAAGATGAAAAAATGTATTATTACCAAATTGGGTTCACAGCTCTACAGTTTTGTGCCGTACTTGGGAAAAAAAAAAAAAAAAAACACAAACTATATCCTTTATTATTAACAATTTTCTCTGACTGAACACTTTTAAAACCCTATTCTAAATATTGAACAGTATGCCATTCTATGGCTAAACTGTCATTTAGTTAATAAATCCCTTATTGCTGGACACTGGGTTCATTCCTCCCGCCGCCCCCCGTAAGATTGCCTTAAGTGTTCTAGTCATTTTCCTTGATAAATGATTATCTCCTTAGGAAGAATTCTTATGCGTGGAGTCTTGCAGATTTCCTAAGTTGGCCGAACTCCTAATAAAAAAGTCATTTGTGGGGTAGAATAAATTAAATATTTTTTTATTTAGATCTATTGTGTTGTACTTTTCTGTTTTATGTCTTTAAAGCTTTTTAAAAAATCGTTAAAAGACTTCATTTGAGAATGAGAAACTCTCAAAATAAATTTTGTTTCTAATTTTTTAGTACTCAGTCTTCTTAAGAGTACATAGAAATTTTGTCATTCCTGGACCTTTTTTTCTTTTTCTTTTTTGGTACTGGAAATCAAACTCAGGACCTCACACTTGTTAGGCAGGTGCTGTGCCACTGAGCTATATCCCTGGCCCTTTCTCCTAGATCTTTTGTTATTTTTAACTCTCAAATTTTGTTTCCCAAAATTAATTATTAAAGGATATACTGTTACTAGATTTTTAATGTGAGAATTACTGTTTTCTTTAGTTTAGTTTTAAATTTACTATATCTAGGTTCCACTCAGTATTCATAAATGGTATTATTTTGATACATTTTTACAGTGGTATTGTAGAATCTGGGTGACCTATATGGAAGTAATTCCAGTGATTTGGAAATTATGTTCATTAGATATGTTTTAATAAGTGCATATTTATTATATGAATATACTTCACATAGAGATTCACACACACACAAATGACATATTTTTGTCTCTTACCCTGGCACCTTAGTCTGGGAGATTCCACATTGCGAGCCTGTTGATCTTACTAACATTACAATAGACAGAAGTCCAATTTTAGAAGCCGTAGCATCTTCTACCATCCATTAAAATGAATTCAAAGGCTAGTAAGTATAGTAGAAGTGAACAAATTAATCTTTAACAGCTTAGTGATAATATTTACCATCTTTATTTGGTAAACAGAACATGGTCTCTCTAACAGACATTTAACTATGATTTATTGTAAAGACTCACTTTCACTGATGCATAAAGGATGCTGAAGGTGGAGGAGAGTCTCAGTTTAGAAGGTCTTTCAGTAGTGCCAGCAATTTTTATTGGCAATTGGTAAGCATCCTCATACAAGAATCTGTTTTCCGATGGATCTTCTTATCATGCTAAGGAAGCACCAGCCTGGAAACAGTCTTAAGTTTCCTTTGGTTTCATTCTCTCAGAAGTGAGTCACTTATCAATTTGCCTAGAATTTAAAATAATATAATTTGGTTAATTACTATTTCTTTCATTTTTCCAAGTACCCTTACTATGGTTACAATTTCCGTCTTCTACTCTTGATCGTATTCTGTCTATATGCAAATGTATATTTTATATATTCCAAAATATTTCAGACATTCATGTTTAGTATTCTTTTTTATTGGATTTATGTATCAGGATACTAACTCTGATTTCACCTTGAAGAATTATTTCATGTGTGGAGACATAAAATAGACTTACATTTTTATACTTTGTTTCTGAATATGTACCTCTTTTGAGAATGGAAACTAATTTCAAAACTACTTTTTATGTTGAAATCAGTTTTACTGATAATAAATTTGAAGGATAATAAAAAACACTATGATGGCTTCTCTTAAAACAGTTTTTTTATATGTCATACGTTTTTTATAAACAAAAATTCTCCCAAGTGCCGAAATACATAGACTAATGTGTCCTTGGTAGGAAAAATTTACCATAGGGAACAAATACAGTAGTGATGATAGTTTCCCTATCCTGAAGAACGGTTTAGCCCTAGTTTTGATGAACTTCCTTGTTCTGTTCTTAATGTAATCATTTGGTGAGTTGATTCCTTCTCTTATTCCAAAATAAGCTTTTAGGAGTTCCAGTGGCATAATTGGTTAATGTGCAGTACTTATACAAAACAAAATTTTATATGTACTTTATTAGAGACCGGTAATAGTATGTGTAACTAGAAAAAGAATGTATGAGGCTATTCCTGCAGTATCAGAATAAATCTAGTATTTTGTTTTTTCTATGTTTTGTAGAGTAAGATATTAAAACGATTGGCCTAAGGCAATACAATATAGTATTTGGTCCAAAAATTATTCATAAAACTAACTCTCTTTTCTTTTTTCTTTCTCAGAAGAGAAGCCAAAACCAGATCCAGTGTTAAAGTCTTCTTCCCCAGTCCTTAGGCTAGTCTTTAGTGGGGAGAAGAAGGAACAAGCAGGCCAGACATCTGAGACTACTACAATAGAATCCATACCAGAGCTTCCTCTGCCTCCATCACCTACCACTGTTTCTCCAGTTGCTCGAAGTACAGTTGCTTCCCCCACCTCTGCTACTCTTAGTAGTCAAGCAATATTCACTGCTGCTGTAGATGACAGACATGAACTCTCTTCCTCAAAAGAAGATACAGTACCTATACCCAACCCCATATCTTGCACAGAAACATCAAACCCTTCACCAACAATTGAAATTGACAACGATATATGCAAGAAACCCTGTAGTGTAGCAGCTAATGATATTCCACTGATTTCTAGTACTAACCTAATTAATGAAATGAATGGAGTTAGTGAAAAATCTCCAGCCACAGAAAGCATTGTGGAAATGGTAAAACATGAGGTGTTGCCACTGACTCTTGAATTGGAAATTCTGGAAAATCCCCCAGAAGAAGTGAAAGTGGAGCGGATTCCACTTCCCATCACCCCTTCCACAGTTTCTTCCTTCTCTCCAGCTCCTCCAACTCCTCCAGCTTCTCCTCCCACTTCAGTCATTGTTGCTGCCACCACTACCGTTAATATTCTGAGTGCTCCCACTGTAGTCCAGAGAGTCTTGGAAGAGGAAGAGAGCATAAGAACTTGCCTTAGTGAAGATGCAAAAGAGATTCAAAACAAAGCTGAGGTAGAAGCAGATGGGAGAACAGAAGAGATTATGGATTCTCAGAATTTAATTTCAAGAAAGAGTCCTGTCCCAGGTAAGCTGTTCTGTCATTAATAATCCTATTCTTGCTGAACAAGAAGAGACAGTGTTTGAGTTATTTTTTAATTGGCTATTTTTTAATTTCCTTGACTTCCAGAAACATCGAATGAATGCTGAAATTCCTAGTCTGGTTTCTTCAGTGGTGTGTTTGTGTTTTAGTACAGCCTGCAAAAAGAGTTACTCCATTGTCTAAAAATGCAAATGAGAATTTCCAAATATACTAAATGCCTCCAAGGTATATGTCTCTGTACGTGTTGGGTTGTTTTTGTTTATACTTCGTTCATATGAATTATTTCTTCAGTGGTTAATTTTGTTGCTTTGGGGCTGAAAACTAACCTAAACCAATATGGTCTATAGTCCCTAATCCTGTCTTCTCAATTTTTTTTTTTTTTTTTTTTTGAGACAAGGTTTCACATTGCAATTCATTCTGGCCTTGAACTCACTCTGTAGTCAAGGGTGGCCTTGAGCTTGTGGCAATCATCCTGCCTTAGCTTTCCAAGTGCTGAGGTTACAAGTGTGTGCCACCAAGCCTGGCTTGTCTTCTCAGATTTTAAAAACCATTCAGTCTGTAGTTTAAAGGAACTCCTCTATGTAAGACCTCTTTGTAAATCTTAGATTTAAGAAAATAATCAGAATATCAAAGATTTATAACTGCAGTAATCTATTTGCCATGGTGGAGGTTGAACCCATGGCCTTGGCACTAAACTGCATCCTTAGCCTGATTTTTACTTTTTATTTTGAGACAGAGTCTCACAAAATCACTAAATTGTCCAAGCTACCATAGGTTCAAATGTGTGATTCTCCTGCCTCATTTTCCCAGGGATGACAGGTGTGCACCACCACACCTAGCTAAAAGTTTATAACTTTTTTGAATAATAAAAGTGCCCATTTAATTAAATCACAAATTTTCCCACTTTTTCTTTTAAACACTTCGTTTTTCTCTTTTTATAAGGTTTTTAGTATTTTAAAAGTTTCATATTCCCAGTTAAAGTTATTTTTCAGTGTAGCCTCACCTAGGACAGTAATGGTGAACCATTTAGAGCTTTCAATGATACAAACATCCCTCTGTGGCACATATGCCGTAGGTGCACCGCCACTGACCTAGGACCTTAAGAACTGACTGCTGAGTTTTAATTTTTTAGTAATTTATAGCCAGAAATTTTAATAAGATTAGCCAAAAGTTATCTGAAGCTTATCAGCTGATTCTTGAGTCATTTACCCCTAGTAATACTGGCATTTTGGGTTGTAAGAAGTCACCCCAGCCTGTCTTGTGCAACATTGCCCTTCATTGTGTAATTTGTTCTCTGCATACTTGGCAAGTTAGTTAATTTGCATTTGTAAATTGGGAGCACACTGCAAGTGGGTGTATTCCCCAAGGTTGATAATAGAAACATACCAGTTTTTTCTCCAGTATCCTTATATATGTTTGTTTTTACCATGTAATAGGAGAGAAACTTGGAAAGTCAAAAGCCTGATCCTTGTTTTTAAGATACAGTTTGCTTTCTTACCTAGCTCAGTTCTTGAGGGCTTTTTAAAAATTATTGTCCATGGTGGTACTGGGTTACTTTGCACTCTCGAATGCCTCCTAATTCAGCATAGTGAGTGAGCTAGAGCACAAAAGCAAACAGTGCAGAGTAGTTAGGACAGGGAAATATTTATCAATAATCTTTGCAAGTTGCCTGTTTTCTTGACACACTGGCTCCTATTGGCATCAGTGTTCATAGCACAGTGGCTGTTTGAAGAACCTTCTTCCTTAGTGGCGGGGAGACCTCGGGCTTGTGAGTGATCCTTTGAAAATAGCCATGATTTAGGTGTTGCTGTAGATGAATGTTCTCCAAAGAAAACAATAATTTGATCCTTGATGGTTTCCTTTTCAGTTATTCACCTAGTGATGTCATAGTTCCAAAATAAAGAGAAGCTAATGAAGATAAATGTTTTAAAAACATAAAACTGATAATAGAAAAAACAGTCACAGGGAATACAAGTAAAAGACGCAAACCATGTCTCAGAACTGAAATATTTGTGAAATGAGATGGCACCAAAATCATATTCCCACTCTGTTTTTGTTTTTGTTGGTGCTGGGAATCAAACTCAGGACCTCATGCTTGCCAGGCAGGTGCTGTTCCACTGAGCTACATCCCCGGCCCTTTCTACTCATTTTTAAAATTCATTCTCCATTTACAGTTTATCACATATGTGCACTGATATCTCAAGATACAGTGCCCAGGATTACATGGGAGGTAATGTGTATTAACATTTTTCTAGTGCCATGTCATGTTTGGTCTTGCTTTGTTTTGAACTGGTAAATATACAAAAAAGAGATTAGTAATTCTCTCATCATCCTCCTGCTTTTTTGTTGTTTTTTTCTTTTTGTTGTTTTTTTTTTTTTTTAGTAAGCATCTCACTATGTAATTCAGGCTGCCTTTGGACTTACTAAGTAGCCCAAGCTGGCCTTGAACTAGCTGCAATCCTGCCTCAGTCTTCCAAGTGTGGGGATTACAGGAGTGTGCTACCATGCCCAACTCTATAATTTCCCTTCACATGTTAATATCTTCAGAACCAATAGTAAATAAACTTTAGAAACCCATGCAATTTAAACATTTTAAAAATTATATAGCACAGATGTATTCTTTTTTTTTTTTTTTTTTGTGGTGGTGGTGGTGGTAGGTTGGATTTTTTTTAGAGGGGGCAAGCTTTGGTTTTTTGAGACAAGGTCTCACCGTGTAGTCCAGGCTGACCTCGAACTCATGGCAGTTCTCCTGCCTTAGCCTTCTAAATGCTGGGATTATCAGCCTGTGCCACCACTCCTGGCTCACAGATGTAGTCTTGATCCTTTCATTTCCCTACAGAATTTCTTAAATGTCAAAGAAATTTACAATAAAAATTAAAGTTACCTTCAGTCTTTAAATATATCTGCCTGAATGACTACAATCTTATTTGTACTTACTCAATTACTATATCTTGTTACCTTTGAGAAATTAATAAATCATAACAATTTGGTTTAGATATCCTATATAGGTGTTTTGTTGTGGTTTGGGTTTCTTTTTCTTTCCCTCTCTTTTTTTCTTT